CACAGTAATAATTCTTAAAAGTCACACCAATAATAATTTTCCCATTACAGTAACCATTAAACTAGATAGTATTCATCAATGAAAGTATAGACAAGTTGATTCGACATAAGCATAAAAATGAAAAAAAGTTTGATATAGTATTAAAAAACATGCCATTAAAATGGAAACTACTGGTTAGGTTTTGTCATAAAAGGACAGAAAATAAGATCAGGTTGGTGCGTTAGAGCTAACGGTGGTTGCAACGTCTCTAAAAAATGCACCTTAAAAATGATATTCAAGTCATAGAATTAAATAAAGAAGCCAAGTTTTTATTCTCACTTACTCTGTCGTCTCTCATCTCCAAATTATCACCATGCAAACAAAAAACCAAAAAAATATGATTGCTTTGCAATAATTGAATGCATGTATATAATATTGAAGTGGTTGAAGGGGTTAAGAAACAAGTACTACACCTTTAGTAGATACATTAGCAACCTTCTCAAGCAATTAAGTTTAACCCACAAATAATGACTACACAATGCCATAACAATTGAAAGTGGGTCCATTGTTGACAACAAAATGGTTAAATTTTAAAAATGTTAGAATAACAAAACAGTCTTAAAAGTCTTCTTTTTTCTATTGTTCCTCTCATGGCCACACAACCTTTTGAGTTCCCTTGGGGAAAAGGTAACACTTGTGTTAATATTCTTATAGGTTGTAGTATGAATTTGTTGCCTTTCGTGCATTATTAATGATGAATAAATTACCAATTAATTGCATATCATATCAATCATATCACACAGTTAGGTGGTACTCATAGCATATTAATTTTTTTTTAATAAATCTATACTTTACTCATTAACAACTCATGTAACCGCGTATAGGTCATGTGTGGAATTTTCAACATAAATGAAATGTTTCTTATAAGGTAAAACAAATATGTACTTTTATACCCAACAAATTATTACTATAAGTGAAACTAAATTTGTTTTTTTTTTTAAGTAACATCTCAATTTGAAAGTATTATAGATGAAAAAAAATGACACAGAACAAATACTTTATTAAAGTGATCAATTAAGTTCTCTAATAAAATTAATTATCAACAAAATCAATAAATATGTTGTAACAATAACATAATTATCAAGAAAAAAATATTCATTTATATTGTATACCAAAAATAAACAAACATACCCAAGAGAATATCTCCTCATTTTAAAATATTTTTTATTGATAATTTTTTTTAAATTAAGAAGAGATGGATTACGATTATTTAAAAAAAATTCATTTTTGTTATTTTTTTTCGTTAAGTAAGAGATAAATGAGTGCTTTTAGACAAATTCAATTATAATTTTTAGAATTTAATTATAATACATTAAAAATATAAAAGGAATTATATTATCTAATATTAAATTATCACACATATATATATATATATGGTAAATTTGTTAATTTTTTTTACATTGACGCTGTAATAAAATTATTAAAATTTTAATTCATTAAAAAAGTGGAATTTACTACAAACAAATGTTGGGTACTTTTTTCTTTTTTTTTATACCCCAAGTATCTTTATTAATTATCACAGTCAATGTTCTTTCATCTGGATCAATTTTTTTGTTTTTTATCATATGCTTAAGCAGCTAATTATACTACATTTTTATTTGTTAAAATTAGCGTATAAGCTTTTTGACCATTTTATAAGTTAGTTTGAGTAAAATAAGATTGTTTAATACATAGTTTATTTTAGGAGCTTGAAACTTATTTTTATTGTATTAGATAAAGTTAGTTTATAAGTTGATTGAAAACTTATAAATTATAAATTAAGAGTTAAAAAATTTATAAGTTAATTAATTGAATTGAAAATATTTAATAAAATTAGTTGAACTGATTAATGTAAGATGTCGTATTTAATGAAAGTAGGGGAATGATGTGTAAGCAAAATTATTTTTAAATTAAAAAAACATAAATAAGGTTTTTAATTAAATTAATGAGGATAAAAAAAATGAAAGAGAAAAGAAATTAATAACTTATGAACTATAAGCTACCTCAATTAATTTATAAAAACGTTATAAATTCTTTAAATAAATTCTTAAACTAAACAATTTTATTTTGGTCAAAATAACCTATAAGTAAGTCAAAAAAATTTATAAGTTCTTCAAATTTATTGTCAAACATAATTTTTACGATATAAAAAAATTAGAACATGTAAAAATGTTAGATATTACAGTTGTCTTTATTTGTATAGATTTTATTTAAAGAAAATTAAATTATTAGTATTGTAAATTTATATTAACAATTTAATATATTATATTAATATATAAAATTTAATTTTTATATATTGTGAACGTAATTTTTACACCATAAAATATATGTCAACAATATTTTCTTTTACACTATAAACCAATTAAAATTAAGTTGTCAATTTGAGTATGACTTATTGGTGAACTAGCTTAACATGTAATTAATATTAAATTGATTTTTTTTTTAAATCTTAGTTTGTTTAGCATGATTTAATGGCCCAAATAAGTCACCCCACATTCTTAAAATTTAGGCACGAAAAAGTTGGCACTACTTTACATGACTTTTAAGTTAAACTCTTAAAATTTAAGCCGAAAAGTTGAGTTTATTTGACCTTAGTCATTTAATCTAATTCTATGATAAGTATTCACCCCACCCCACACCCCACAAATATTTATATACAGTTATTTAAATAAAATATCTTATATTATAATATAAGCTCCTAATCTAGAATCTTATATTATATTATTTTATTTAATCAATTATATTTATTTTATTTTCTATTTATATCTTAATTATCATTTCAGATAGCGTAATCTTTATTCTTTTTCAGTAAAAAAAAATATTTATTCTTTTTGGTTATGATTTAGTTTTTATTGGTATTACTGAATAAAATAATATTTTTTAACAGATATACATTTGCACAAATATTAAGAATAAGATAAATTAATCTATCAATTTGTATTTTTTTAAAATTATAAGTCAATTAGTATCATTTTTTGGCATGTCTTTGATAATACTATTCCATGATGTCAAGTTTTTAATGATGATAGGTATTGGTTTAATGATTTAATAGTAGTTAAACTAATAATAATAATAATAATAATATTGTATAAAATAATATTAAATAAATATAATATCATAATTTTTATAAAAATAAAAAATAAAAATAAAAATATTATTGGTGTCAAAAATATTAAAATAACATTTATATATTCTTACATTCAATATATATATATACGTTAAAGTCTAAATTAAATATAATATAATATTTAAATTTAAATTTGAATAAAATTATACTAATTTTCATTAATAATAATAAGTTCATATCTAAAATAAAAATGTAAATTAATATAATATAAGTTATAAAACTTGAGATATGAAATTTGTAAGTTAATATAAATGAATAAATTATTTTTATAAGAAAAGTATTAAAATAATTGATAAAATAATTTATTTTAATTTATTTTTTTATTATTAATAATATTATAAATAAAATTTAAAAAATTAAAATATTTATTTATTTAAATAGGATTAACTCAAACCGATTTTCTAGATTGATTTTTTTCTAATTTTAGATTAGTTCAACAAATTGTTTGCTGATTCAACTTTAGGTTCAACCAATTGTTTACTGATTCAACCCCATTCTAAAACAAATTTTTATTAGTTGTTAGACTGGACACCTTATCATTTTTCCAATCCCATTTAGTCAAGGTCTGGTTTAGTTTTCAAAATAATATAAATGATTATAATTTATATTTAAAATATCATATTTTTAATGTTGTTTGATAAAGAGTTAAGACTTATTTTTGGGTGATTTAAAATTATTTTTCAAAATTCTATGTTAAGTTTAGATGATTTAATATTATGTTTGGATGATGTTATAAGTGAATTTTTAATTTAGTTATTTTTATTTTGGTATTATAATATTGACAAGAATATCTATCAATTTTATTAGAAATTAGTCTCTTTTAAATTTTAACTGTATTAAAATTATTCTTAATATTATTTTTTTAATCAAATTTAAGATTTAAACTCAAAATCTTGAAGATAACTTAAAACGTCAATTGATTAACGAATATTAGTATATTGATTTTTAATTAATATTTTTTTATTTATTAACCATATATATATAAGTTAATGCGAATAACAAAATAAATATAAATATATAAGTAGTTAACTTGCCACTTATCACATGGGTATGCGCATGTATGAATATTTATATTATGCAGGTACGTCAATGGGTATTATATAATATTATACTTAAACTCTACTATTGTTATCTCTTATTTTTTTTACTAAGGAGTATTATCAAGGACTATTGTTATCTCTAATATAAAGTATCATATTATATTTACTAAATTAAATATTATTACAAATAATTTGATATTTGTGTTTCTTAATCCAAAAGAATTAAACTTTCTGTTTTTTGTTTTTTAAAGACAGAAAATATTATAAAGATGGTTGTAATGAGGATTGACCCTAGGTTCTCATGCTTCTAACCAGATTAATTAAACTTCTACCACCTCAAAAGATGAGATAGTTGGCTCCAAGATTTAAAGTGACTGCATACACAAGGCAGGATTCAAACTCCTGACCTTACTTAAGCGTGGATCAACCCCTACCGTTGAATCACACGCTTAGGGTTAATTAAACCTCTTGATTATACTTATATTTAAAACAAAAATCATATCATATTTTTTTAAAAATAATTAAACTTCCTAATTATACTTATACTCAAAATAAAAATCATATCATATACAACGTGTATAAAATAGCATGTAGCGATTGAGCGTGACATATTTCTAATGATTTCTGCATAAAACCTTAAATAAGAAAAAGAAGGTGAATATATCCAAGGATGAGAGTGGAACTCACGTGCAAGGTAATGTAATGTAGCGGTAACATGAAATGTCAATGTTGCATAACAGGATTCTCCTTAGAAATGAACAGTAAATTGTAAATAAAAAATAAAAAAAAATAAAGGGAAGAAGGAAGCACGAGAAATCCACACAAAAGCAAGCAGCACAAGGGACAAGGGAACCTCGATCCCATGCCATGTGCGGATGGGGCATTATTTCACTTTGTAAATAGCAAGTGTCTCAAAATGCAATCTTTGGTATTGGGTTTGGACGAATGAAATGAAATAACACGAAGCAGCCATGTGGGCATCCATGATTTTTTAGTTCTCTCTGACACCACCACATCTCATCACAATGGGAACACTAGTGTTGAGACATGGAACAAGGGCAAGGGTGGAGATAGATCATAGATCTGAACGTTGGAACATGAAACGTGAAACATGAAACATGAGAGATTGTTGAGTGCTGAGTGGTGCAGTTCTAGATCTTGTTGTTGCAACACAAGCAAGCATGATGAGTGGTAGGAATGTTAGAGAGTCTCTGTTGGGATCCCTCAACCATCACCGTAGAGGGCATAGCTTCAATGGTGTGACCAACAACAATCACGATGACAACCTCGATCTTTTCTCCAACAACCGCCGCACCCTCTCTCTTGCTTCTTCTGATGAATCCTCAGATGGTGCTCCCTCCACCCTTTTCTCTCTGTTCTTAATATCTGCTAACACTCTTGTTTGTTTCTGGTTATGTATTTGTTTGCTCTAGTTTCTAGTAATAACAAAAAAAGAATGGTTATGTGTATAATGGTTTAAGAAAATTATGACGGTGATGATAATGTTATTATAAATTTAGAGATAATTACCATTTGTGAATGAATTACATGATTATGAAAGTTGTGATTGATTTATGGTTGATTTCTAATGTAAATTATGCTCTAGGCCATGTTTTTTTTTAAGGTGGTCTCTATGTGTTGTATTTATATATATTTTTTTTTGTGGATTTAGTTTCTGTGAAACTGGGGAGGCTCTCAGTTGGAACAGCAAAACCAGCTAGAAATGGGATTGATGATCTGTTATCATCTACAGAAGGAGGAAAGCATGATTATGACTGGTAGGTTGTTCAAATATGGCATGATCTCTTTAGTAGATTCAATTTGGCTAATAAAACTATGAAATCACTATTTTAAGAGAACAGATAGAACAAATAAGGAAAGCGATAGTGAAATATGTGCTTTGTTAGCCTTATTCATAGATCTGGAATTAATTGCTGAAAAACTTTATTCTCAAAACATTTGCAATACTTTGATGGAACTCAACCGATTCAGTTAAATTTAGATTAGAATGTTTTAGTTGATGGGTTAGTGTTTATTCAAATTTTGGAATTATCTCATACTCTAGCACAAAATAAAACAACTTGATATTACTATTGGTTGCTTAATTTGTTATTATTATAACTATTTTATGTTATTAGGCTTCTCACTCCCCCGGGGACCCCTGTTTTTCCATCGTCAGAAGGCGAACCACAAGCAACCTTAGTGCCTCCAAGAAGAAGTTTGACTAGATCAACATCTACCTCTAAGACCTCAAGAGTACGTGTGTCGCTCTCATAATTTCTTCATGTAATTTCTAAAAGTTCATTCCATATATGATACCAATATCCATGCTTACTGATTTGTTAGAGAGTAGATTGATAAGGTATTCGCCATAAATTTCTAGTGAAGGAGGATTATACTCCTTCCCACCATTAAGGACCATGGTCTTTGCTTTTGGGGAGGTTTGGACTTTGGAGTGAAGAATTATATGATGGAAATGTGTGTTTGCATTTGGTATTAGATGTTTCCCAAATCCCAAGCTAGCTTCTCTAACCAATATGCTTATGACAATTCACCAGTACACTTGATTACTTCAGCAGCAGTTCAAGTGCTTATTTAAATCTTTGTTTCATCTCACAAAAAATGTGAGTTACAGCAAGAATTTAAACCACAGTTTCTGTGAGTTTGTCTATTAGCATGATTCACAATACACTGACATTGTTTAATCCATGTTGCCGACTCCATCTAGTTGAATATGGATTTGGTTGTTGCTGTTTCAACTCACAGAAACTAACTGCTATTTAGGTCTTGTTTAGAATCACTTACATGAAAAGAAAATAAGAAGATTAAGGGTCTGTTTGGATACAAGTTAGAAGTGTTTTTTAGAGCTTTTCTACTAGAAATAAAGAGTATTTTTTAATATAAAAGTTCTTAAGAGCATTTCTAAACTTATATCAAAACAGATTTTAAATGAATTAAGTTTCTCGTATAAGCTAAAATCAACTTATACACTTCAACTTTTGGAGAAGTTAAGTAGAGTGCTTTTACAAAAGTTAAGTGTATAAGTTGATTTTAGCTTATAAGAGAAGTTCAACTCATTTTACCTTCTTATAGAGAAGTTTGTTCAAAAACCTATATTTATGCATACAAATCACTTGGAGAACTAAATGCTATAAAGTTTTAACTTGTTAATCATGTTTCTTTCAGCTTGCAGTCTCACAATCAGAGAACACAAATCCCTCTAGACCAGCAAGAAGCAGTTCAGTGACTCGCTCTTCCATCTCCACTTCACACTCACAATACAGCTCCTATTCTTCAAACAGACCCTCCTCTTCAATCCTCAACACAAGCTCAGCCTCAGTTTCATCTTACATTAGACCATCTTCCCCCATAACTCGCTCTTCATCTGCAGCAAGGCCTTCCACTCCCTCCTCATCTCGCTCAACAGCATCACGATCCTCAACGCCTTCCAAACCACGCTCAGTTTCCTCCAATTCCACAGCTGAGAAGCATAGACCATCACCACAAAGCTCAAGGCCATCCACTCCTAGTTCTAGGCCTCACATTCCTGCAAACTTGCACTCTCCATCTGCTTCATCAACTCGGTCGCTGTCTCGGCCTTCTACTCCGACACGTAGGAGCTCAATGCCATCTTTATCTCCATCACCAACAAGTTCTTCAACTTCAGCTAGCCGTGTTTCATTGAATGGACGCAGTTCAGCGCCTGCATCAAGGCCAAGCTCACCAAGTCCGCGAGTTAGGCCTCCACCACAGCCAATTGTTCCTCCTGATTTTCCCCTTGATACACCACCAAACCTTAGAACAACTTTGCCTGATAGGCCAGTTTCTGCAGGCAGATCACGTCCTGGTGCATCCACTTTGAAGGCTAATAATGGTTCTGAAACTCAAGCCTCATCAGTTACCATGTCAAGGAGACATTCATCTCCTATAGTTAGTAGGGGGAGAGTGACGGAACCTGCAGCGAAAAGCCGTGGCTATGCCAATGGCCATCATGCTGATGCTCCTGAGCCAAGGAAAGTCTCACATGCTCCTGAGGTAGTTGCAAGGAAATCTGTTAAGGCTTCAACTACTGCCACTGACAACTCTGGATTTGGGAGGACTATCTCAAAGAAATCCTTGGATATGGCTATTAAGCACATGGTTTGTATACTCTTCTCTTTCAATTCTGCAGGATTAACAATCAAAGTTTGCTGATTAGAACTATCAACATTCAACTGTTTCAAATATAATTCATGATCATAATAGACATTAGGTTGATGTTTTATTCTATCAAACTATTTACACCTTGACTGAAGTTCTGGTTAGATAAACTTTTTCATAAATACTTATAGAAAAAGAAAGTAAGAAGGTAAAATGAATTTGAGCTTCTTTATAAGCTAAAATGAACTTATAAACCTTAATTTTGGAGAAGTTAAACGAAAGGAGCTTCTATAAAAATTAAGTGCATAACTTGATTTTAACTTATGCGAGAACATCAGGTCATTTTACCTTTGTATTATTTTTTTTAATAAGTGCTTATAGTTAAGTTTATCCAAAAAGGCTTGAAAATAATGGTCCAAATGAGACAGCAATCCTTATCATTAATGCCATGATTCATCATTATTCACATTGTGATACCTTATGAATTGGCCTCATCTTCTTGTATTTTTGTCTTTATAATCCATTTATCTTTGAGCTCGGTTATCTATTAGGCTTGCCATATTTCTTGTTATGACCATTTAGTTATAAGCATTTATTTGGTTGCTGGAACTTACTTTGAGAAGATGCATGCTTCAAGCAAGTTTGTTCTATTAACTCAAACCTGATTTTCTATGTGCTTTTTCCATTTAACAGGATATAAGGAATAGCTCAGGAAATATTCGTTCACTATCAAGCACCACACTCTTCCCCCAGAGTATTAGAACTTCCACTCCCAAGAGCCAGTCTCATCGAGTTTCGAGTGCTCCAGCATCTGTTGACATGAATGGAAACAATGGAGCTAGTTTTGATGTGGGAAATGGCATTAATAGGAGTATGATAAAGGGAAGAGAGGTCGATGAAAGACAATATTCTGCAAAACTTAGTGAAGTGGACATCTATGAGAGTTCTCGTTATGATGCACTATTGTTTAAAGAAGATTTGAAGAACACAAACTGGCTGCATGGTGCTGATGATAAGTGCGATCAAGCCATATTTGATAACGGATTTGAGCACCTGCCTGAACCCTTTGGTCTCTTATAACATCTAAGGAGGTTCAGGTTCTGCCTAGCACACATTTGTAACATGTTGTTTTATGTTCTAATTATTGTCTCAATTTTTTGAAGGGATGGGATGTTTCAACTTATATAGCTCCAAGGTGGAGAAGTGAAGATGCATTCATATGTTTTCTGGATTCTGCTGAGAAATCAGTGGATTTTACTTTGATCTTAAACCTATACAAACAATGCAGGAAAAAATTTACATGAAAGATTTCATACTTTCTTGGGAGAATGAGAATTTTCATAAATGAGTGAGTTCTGTCTTTGCATACCTTGTGTGCATTTGTCAAAAGGCAAATGTAGTACTGTAAGTACATAGAGATGGAATGTGATGTTTTATGCAAACACTATGGTTGAGTGTTATTTTCTCCTTGACAATGAATACTAGTTGAGTTGAGTTGAATTTTTCTACATTTTAGTGCCTTTTACTTCCCAAATACAATAGTAAAACTTTGATGAATTTTTAAAAAGTAGTTTTTTTTAAATAAAATTTGAAATAAAATAAATATAATCAAGCAACAAGTCAATGGTTTGAATAGAACTCAAATCAGATCTCTTAATGTTTTGAGGTAAAATCTTGTGAATGAAAAATGATTGAAGGCAATCAGTTGGATTTTTTTACGAAGAATAATCATTGACAAAGTTGATAAATATTTTTTTATAATCATGTTATTGGTACAAAATATTTATTGACTTTGTTAATAATTAATTTCAGTTAGAAAACCTAACTACCACCTTTAGTGGTACTCTCCCTTCTTAGCCTCATTTTTTCTATATACAAGATTTCAATCCAAAATCTTGTTTTAAAAGACCAAATTCAGTATTGTTTGACTAATATCTCATTGGTAAATTGATGAATACTTTACACTGATCAGCTTGATACCCAAAATAAATATAATCATAATAGTCGGTGATTAGAAATTGATGGATTTTTTTTCAAGATTCTTAACAGGTTCAAAAGGCCCAAAAGGTTGTTACCAAAAAATCAGGTTGATCCGTTGAAAATTCTCCATTTTAAACCTTCTAAGTTCTAACATTGGTAGCCAAAGCAAAGAGATTCTTAATATCAATATTTCATGAGTTTTGCTAATATGTGATTCTACTAAAAACTGTTAGTTTAATAACAATACTTGTTCCCATTAAAAGACAAACTGTTCCCTGCCCTAGACCCCACATTACATCTCAATTGTACTACTTGGTCCTCAAACAACAACATATAAGGACACTCAAATAAATGAAGCTTTAACGTTACTTCAAAATCTAACTGAAATTCACTGCAGTACATTATTATTTCTAGCTACAAGATATGTATGTGACTACAGCTATGGACTACTGTACAATTTTTTCCACACACAACACACGAAACTGACCTTAAAAAGAAAAAAAAAATAAAAACATGCACCATTTAAAGCTTCAAACTAACAAGAGGAATTTGACGTCTCTTTTATATTGCCCTAACTCTAGAATATAAAAAATACGTAAAAAGCTAAATAAAGTGACGTTTGATTTGAGCAAAATAATATTACATACACCAGTAAGACTCTTGACACAATTTTCTTTTTGTACCAAGTGTGAATGTAGCTACTAATTTCTATATCAATGTACAGATAAATATTTATTTTATATAATTAAATATATACAGTAAATAAATAGATTATATTATAATTAAAATTTTATTTAATCTATATTTTTGAACATGTAAATTATATTTTAAATTTATGATGGAAAAAATATTTTTAAACTATCAATAATTTTATAAAATTCAATTTGAAAATAAAAATAAAAAGGGTATATTGAAAGTGATAAGAGATTAAGAAAAATTCTTAAAACTTTTCATTGAAAAATATTTTTTAGAAAAGTAATTTAACTAAAAATATTTTTTTAAAATACTCTCATTCAAAATAATTATTCTAATTTAGTGGTTTTTTTAGACTTATAAATAAGTTAGACCTATACTTTGACTTATTTCATGCCATAAATAAATTCTTATACACTTTATAATCAACACAATCTTCTGTTCTTGAGGCAAAAACCATTTGTTTAGTTTTACATTCGTCTCAAAGTATCATTTCTAATACTCCTATGGGACAAGGTGAGACACGTCGAATAAATCTTATATACATGTATCACAAATCCTTTTTGAATGTGACATTGGTAGAGAGCATATTGAACAAATTCGCTGCTTCTTTTGAGTGTACCTTTAAATGAATTCAAAAGTCTAATAACTTAAGGGTAAGTATGACTTTGTAACGGACACATATTTGAACCACATGGTTGGTTTGCAGGCTTATACTTTAGTTGTGGTCCTTTGGGTCTAGGGAGGGATGCTATGTAACTATCCACACATCACTTTCACCTCAAGAAAGCAACGCTAGCTACAAACTATATCATTATCAATATCAATGATTCTTAATGTCTCATAAACACCATGCCATTTTTAATTCCCATACACAAAACAAAACCTTCCAAACCCTTTATTGAATTCACAACTTGGCATTTATGGACCATAAAGTAACAACAAAAAGAATTAATAAATTGTTAGTTTAAGTCATATCAGTTTTAACCTTCTTAAATAAAGTCTTGAGTTCAGATTTTATGTATGGAAAAAAATGATTGAGAAGAAAGACTCCACAAAAAATAATTAGTTAAATTTTCTGATAAAGATTAATTATTAACAAAATCAATAGAATAATAATTTATATCAATAACATAATTATTCAAAAAGTTATAACAAAAAAATATAATTAAAATCTATACGGTTAGTGACATCATTTATATAATTCACACTCATACACGTATTAAACTATTAATGTAGCATCAATATTCAAATTTAACCATATTAACAACTTTACAGAAGGGGGGAAAATAGTGTAAATAGTACCACCATTTCCTTAATTGTTGTGTACCTTTTTATGTGTGTCTAAAGCTATATTCTTTTATTTTTGCCCCAAGAGGAATTAAATCATCGACACCCCTATAGCACGCGGTTTTAGGTATATAACAGTAGCAACTAGCAATGAATGTGATCTAATAGCAATTCAATGTTTTTTGTAATTAAAAAATAAATGTCCGTTCGTGACATACAAATTAGAAAAAATAGATTTTAGTGATTCGAAAATTACTCGATGTGTGATCCGAAACAAGAACTTAGCCCAAGAAATTGAGGTAAAATAAATTTGGAAACCCATGCCTTTCATCGAGATCTGCAAGTCAGAATAGAATAAGTTTCATTCAGTAGTTCAAATATTCATTTCTTTTCATTTAAAAATACTTAAAATATATTTTTAGCATAATTAAAATGAATATATTTTGATTTTATTCTTTCCAAAATTGAAATGGCTATTTTTATTCTCTACTGTTTCATGATTCTTAATAACTACTTACTTAAGTTATTGGTATGTTAAGTCAACCACACTCAGTCTACAACTTTGTATAATATTATCTCAATATGTGATATTTCTAATTTTTTTATCTTTAAAATAAATGTTTTTATTTATCTTAAAATAATTATCAGGAATCAAATATTAACTCTAGCCTTTAAAAAAAAGTCTTTGATCTATCTAACTCATTCCTCATAACCTTCAAAAAAGTTTCTCTTACAACTTAGCTAATGTTAAACCACATCCTCTACTAGTATATAGTATATACATAGGAGTGTATATAATAATGTATTACCACTGTACACTCTGCAAATTTGGCTTAATAAGGAAGAAGGCTTCAAGTTGAAGGTGAGACTTGAACGTTGAATGTGTGCCTCCCAAATCATAAACAGGAAAACCGAAAGGAAAAAATATATGAACAGTGCAACATAGTATGATAGTTATTATAGTATAGTACTATGATAAAGCTTTTAATAACCCTCTCTTTCTCTATGTCTCTCTGATTCTGTGTGGATTCTGGCGTGTTCCTGAAGCTATGCCGTTAAAGCTTGTGGTTGCTCCCTCTTGGCCGTTACCACCACCAACACTGCTTTAGCAAAAACCTTTTCTTCCCCAAAATCACATTTATACATTTTCCATCACTTACACACTCCCCATTGTGGCTTCCACTTCCAACTTGCTTTCCCTTTCTCCTGGTTTCAAGGTTTGCATCATCTCTCAGTTACTTGCATTTTGTTTTTGCATGTTTTTCTTCTTTTTCAAGTGAGTTCATGTCTTTGCATATGTAGGACAAGTTAACATGTAATATGAAACTAAAATTCTTGAAGTTTTTGGCCTGGCATTGTTCTTGTTTGTCTATTTAGAGTGAGAAGAATGCTAATCAATGAAAATTCTAAGGGTACAGGCGTAAAATTAGTTTCATTGTATAGTGAATCCAAGGAGAATATTCTTTTAATTAATGAATGGCAAAAATAAAATACTTCGGTAAAATGATTTTAGCCTCTCTTTTTTTTTTACTTCTTCTGTCATATGTAAAATGATATTCACGTCTTCAAAAAATGAAAGACAAACTTTAGTACAGTTTAACCAAGGGCTGATAAACTAGATGGGCCTTTTGAAAAGTTTTTTCGTAGCTAGAAAACATGATTGAAAATTATGATTTTTTAAAATAACTAAATTCTGTTTGTTTATTTATTTTTACAAATTTCTCAAAAATTAAGATTGTTTACAATAGTACTTTTCTGGATATATAAATATTTCCACATAAACCAACTGTTTTGTTGTATTGCCTGCTAAGTGATTGATTACAGTTGCTCCTTTTGATCAGTTTGTAACATTTTGAAATCTCCATTGCTAGGGAAACAAGTGGAGTTATTGAAACCACACAACCAGTTACTGCCTCTCATCTCAGGCACCTTGGTTCAACCACAAAACTTGATGATGCTACAATCCTACTTTACCACAATAGCAATTTTTCTTCTCCTGCTTGTGTTTCCTCGAACTAAAGCTGATCTACATTCAGAAAAGCAAGCACTCCTTGACTTTGCTGCTGCAGTTCATCATGGTCCAAAAGTGAATTGGAACTCTAGTACCTCAATCTGCACTTCATGGGCGGGAGTTACATGCAATCATGATGGTTCCCATGTGCTTTCTGTAAGGCTTCCAGGTGTTGGATTGCGAGGTTCTCTCCCACCAAACACACTTGGTAAGCTAAATGGCCTCGTTAGTCTCAGTCTTAGGTCCAACAGCTTGAGGGGGAACCTTCCAACTGATCTACTTTCACTTCCTTCTCTAAGATTTATATATCTTCAACACAACAACTTCTCAGGTGATATTCCTGATTATCTGCCACCCCGGCTTATCTTTCTTGATTTGTCCTATAACTCTTTCACAGGAAAAATTCCAGCCTCAATCCAAAATTTGACACATCTAATAGGGCTAAACCTCCAAAATAACTCTCTCACAGGAACTATTCCTGATGTTAACCTTCCTAGCCTTAAGGATTTGGACTTGAGCTTCAACTACCTGAATGGTTCTATTCCTTCAGGTCTTCGTAAGTTTCCTGCCTCCTCATTTAGAGGGAATTTGATGTTATGTGGAATACCTTTGAAGCAATGTTCTTCAGTTTATTCCCCTACTTCCACATTGTCTCCACCAACAGTTTCCAAAAGACCATATGATCTATCAAACAAGAAAATGAGCAAGGGGACAAAACTAGCGATTGTTTTGGGGGGTGTAACATTACTGTTTCTTCCAGGTCTTATAGTAATCTTCTGCTGTTTCAAGAAAAAAGTTGGTGAACAAAATGTTGCACCTACAGAGAAAGGTGAGAAGCTTAGGGAGGACTTTGGGAGTGGTGTGCAAGAACCTGAGAGAAACAGGCTGATGTTTTCCGAAGGTTGTTCTCATAGTTTTGATCTGGAGGACTTGTTGAGAGCTTCAGCTGAAGTGCTTGGGAAGGGAAGTTGTGGAACAACATATAAAGCCATCTTGGAGGATGGAACAACAGTGGTTGTGAAGAGGTTAAGAGAAGTGGCGATGGGGAAAAAGGAATTTGAACAGCAAATGGAGTTTGTCCAAAGACTTGATCATCACCCAAATGTGATTCCCCTTCGTGCTTACTACTATTCCAAAGATGAAAAACTAATGGTCTATGACTACTCAACAGCCGGCAGTTTTTCCAAGTTATTGCATGGTAATTAATATTACTTTGAACTTCTCCCTGATTACACTTTCAAGACTGACAATGTCATATATTTGATATTTCTTTTCTTATTATAGAAGCCAGAACAAGATATACCACTATATGGTATCTATGTTGCTATCAACATAGTAATGTTGTATGCTTTACATCTAGTTTCATGTTGGGTTTACAAGATATTAGTATTAGAACAAACCTAAAAATTATTGTGCACATTAAAAGACAAATAATAAAGTGAGATAAAACTTAGATATAGTACCATAAATACTATTGATGTCGTTCTTCAATTAGAATGAAGTTTTACTTCAGTCATATATGTTATCATTTAATGAAAACTTTTGTTATGCATAATATCAAATTGAAACTCTAATTTTTATTGAAAAACAACACAAAAACACCTATAGTACTATATGCAAGTTTTATCTCATATTTTGTTATATTGAAGGTGCTTGAGGATTACTTCTATGTAAGCTTGGAGATGGTAAAATGCATTGCCATTGTTGTGGCCTTTTCTTAATATGATATGTGAAACATGATGACAGGATCGAGGGAAACTGGAAGACCTCCACTAGATTGGGATACAAGATTGAAGATCATGGTTGGAGCTGCTAGGGGCATCGCTCATATCCACTCAGCCAATGGAAGGAAACTAGTCCATGGCAATATAAAATCATCCAATGTGATTCTCTCAATAGATCTTCAAGGCTGCATATCAGATTTTGGCCTAACTCCACTAACAAGTTTCTGTGCCTCCTCCAAAAGTCCAGGCTATGGAGCACCTGAAGCTATCGAGACACGAAAATGCTCACAAAAATCTGATGTGTACAGCTTTGGTGTTCTCCTTCTTGAGATGCTGACTGGCAAAACACCAGTTCAGTATTCAGGGCACGGTCATGATGAAGTGGTTGATCTTCCAAAGTGGGTCCAATCTGTAGTGAGAGAGGAGTGGACTGCTGAAGTGTTTGATCTTGAGCTTATGAGATATCCAAACATTGAAGATGAGCTTGTGCAGATGCTGCAACTGGCAATGGCATGCGTGGCAGTGATGCCTGACACGAGGCCTTCAATGGAGGAAGTTGTTAGGACAATTGAAGAAATTAGAGAATCTATTTATGAAAACTAGCCATCATCTCAGAGAACATGTTCAAAGGGTCCTATGCTTTCACTCTAAATAAGTGAATGAATGGCTTCTTAGAAGAGGAAGATGCAGGAATATTTTCCAAATGCCCGTGGCTACAAACTGCAAGAAAAGTGTACATCCATTACCCACTTCTAAACATACCTAGTCAAGATTCACTTGAGGTCTTAGCATCAAAACAAAAATGCTTGTATTTTTTTTACCTTTTCATATTTCATTTGCATGATGTTTAAAGCCACACTGAAGTAATAGACAAAAGTTTAAATTATTAAATAGATCCCCGAATTATTTGAAAATTCTTAAATAAGTTCCTATATTAAAAAAAATTGAGTCCCTAAACTTAAGAAGTATGTCCCTAGACCAAAAAAAATATAACAATTCGCAACGACTTTAAAAATCCTAAAAACTCAATTAAACGAATTACACGATCAAGGATCCAATTAAAAATAAATAGTTCAAAGATCTATTTAAAAAATTTCAAATAATTCAGAACCTAGTTAGTGATTTAACCTAATAAGAATTTCCAAATAGCTTCACATACCTTGCAAGCTCTTCCAATCAGATGTATTCAATTAGTAAATATATATAAAAATATATTACAAAAAAGAATCCTGTTATGATAGCAACCATGCAGAAAATACTAATTGGGTCAATGAAGATGTGGGTCAATTTTGCATTTTATCAAAAACCTAATCATCACAAGATTCGAGGCGATACACCACCCACCAAAATGAAAGAATACATCAAGGACAACGGCAGAAACTAGTCACCAACTACTACATTCTTATTCACAATGCCGTCTTTCAGAGGTATCATTTCCAACTGTAAAAGCAATATGAAGTAAGAACACCCATTGTAAAACTATATACTTTTCCGCGGTACAATATTTCCGAGTGTCCAAAGAATTAACATACAAACATTAAAATGGCCCAATTTAGGCCAACCTATATTGGTATTCTGCCTAATGTAAGTGAGGTTACTGTATGTTCAAGACCGCCAAAAAAGAGGGAATTTCCAGTATTAATAAATCAACGACCGGTGTTTGAAGAGCTTCGATCAACCAAGTCAGCACCACTAACATAATTAGCAACAAATGATATCAAACGGAATGGAGCACCGATAAGGGGAGCATCTGTGATTGGCACAGCATCAATTTCCACATTCTTGACATCCTGTGACTCTATATCTTCAACCTCATTATCATCCAATGGAATTTGCACGATTTCTCCAGCAACGTCAGATATCAACGGCGAGTTTGAAATCAACCCAACAACATGCTTAGCATCAATATAGTTACCGTTCTCCTTCACTAAAGTCTCACCCAACAAGTTTAACTTTGGGGCTGATCCAGACGCAATCTCAGCAGATTCAGGTAAAGGAATGGCAACACCAGTAGGTTTAGCAAGTTCAGTCATCCCTTCAGGTATAGGAATGGCAACACCAGTAGGTTTAGCAAATTCAGCCATCCCATCAGCCCCAGTGACTCCAGAAAGTTCAATTTCTGCACTTCGTTGATCCAGGGTAACACATAACTCGGTGACCTGAGGATATAAATGGATTAGGATGCATAACGCTATAAAAACTAACCCAATCAATACTAAAATTGAAATATCAAACCCTCTACTATGTCATCAGCAATCGGTGATGTTCTTTTACAAAAGTAAAAAATTCACAAAGAACCTGGCATATTACCTTCTCAACAAGTTCCGCATTTTCTTCCATCAATTTCTCTACCAACGTAAAGGCTGCTTCAATTTGAGACTTCAAGTCCTCATTTTCAGCAGCAAGATCCTATCCACCATAAAGTGAAATATGATTATGATCATAGGCAACATAAATTGCCAAGCAGTAAAGGTTCTTCCTCCTCCCTACTAAAAGTTACTAGTTCACATATTCGACAGGTCTTATAATCATTTTTGGAAAGGCAAAAATATACTTTTCGTTCCTTATATTATTTATTAGATTTAATTTAATCTCACTTTAATTAATTGAATCAATTTAATCCCACATCTTTAAAATGAATCTCGATGTTTGATTTTCCGTCTCTTCCATTTAAATACTTAACGGATATGACACGTGTCATGACAGCATGACACGTGACATGATACATATCAAATTCATTAAGTATTTAAACGGAGGAAACGGAAAATTAAACATTGAGATACATTTTAAAGATGTGAGACTAAATTGATTCAATTAATTAAAGTGGGACTAAATTGACACTAATAAATAATATAAGGGACGAAAAATGTATTTTTGCCTTTTTGGAAATTAACATGACAACTTAAAATGCAACCAGTAACAACCATGAACTGCTAGACTGCCATCTGCCACCATAGATTTGAGTATCATCAAATTTAACACACTAGAAAATCTGTCCTAAGGCATATATAGCTATCAATATTCCTTTCCTTTAAGTAGGGATTAAGTAGGGATGACAAAATAAGTCAGTCTAACCTTTCATCAACCCGCCAAAAAATAGGTGAGGCCAGTTTGGCCTGCCTACAAAAACATCAGACTAGATACCTTGGCCCACCCTGCCTAAGGATGGGTAAAAAATTTAAATAAAAAAAAAAAGGAAAAGAGGAAAAATTATGTATTTTAAAGGATGTAAAATATATTAATAATTTAGTTTAAATTTCATTTGAATATTAGTTTTTTATTAGTACAAGAGAAATTAAATTTATAAAATAAATTAACAAAAATAATAAACATATATTTTGATTTTTTTTTAAGAACATTAAAATCTGAAGAAAAAAAATTGCACCATAAAAACTTTAAACTTAAAATTTTAATATAATTTTTAATTTTTTTTTTTTTAAAAAGGACGGGCTGGCTGATTGGACCACCTAGCCCAGCCCGCTATTTTTTGTTGGGCCGGCCAGCTGGTTTCAACCCATTTTTCCATCCCCACCTTTAAGTCAAGAAAACAAATTTTCATACGATTGAATTTGTATTGTAGATAGTAACCATGTTGGGTAACAAAAGTAAACCTTTTCAGATGCATTCTGTGAGCAGGAAGAAGTGTGGCTGTTTTCAAGATTCTGCACTGTTGACTGAATACTTGACATTTTCTCCCTCAATTGCTGGTTTTCTAGCAAAAGATTATTCCTGGACTCTTCCAATTCTGCCACCTGCCAAACTTTGATTTTAATATCCATATCAGAATTAACACAGGTTTGTCATGAAATGGACATAACCAAAAACATGCGTGTTAGGATCCAATTGCAAGGTATGGAACTTGAATCTGACATTGCCCATGTACAATGGTTAGCTTTTGTGGTTTGTTATCCTAAGGTTCTTATAAATTGGTATCAAATTTTTTCACCATGTCTCTTAGCTACAAACAAGTGACCCCAGCCATGTTTTCCCATACATAGTCAAAGGGCTAATGCACAGCTAGCCCACATGAGTGGCAAAGCTGCCAAGCATGGTCAGATGTTAGTGTATGGGACTTGAGGTTACATTATTATGGAACTGTAGTAAGGGGATTATAAGACCTCAGACTTTAACTACAACATCTAACTTTTGTGGTGTGGTTCTCCCAAAGTTCTTATCAATTAGGAGAGGGTAATTCATCAAGTCGATGTTTAAAACCAATGGGAGTAAAAGGGAATAATGCTTAATTAATGGAACAGCATTCATACCAGACGGTTTGATTGCCAAAAGAACATAAGCCTAAACAAAGCCTTATAAAAAAATTAAATAATGGATAAGTATTCAGTCCAAAAACAAGTTGGTAAAAAAAAGTCAGAAAACAAACTGAAATGTCAAATAGTCAGAATGTATAAGTAAGAAATAAGTTGGGGAAATAATTATACTGGTAATATCATCCACACTTGGGAATCTGCTCTTGGGCAAATAAAACTACTCAAACCAGTTTTAGTATAAGCTTCAATATCATTCACTATAAACCAGTAACAGGATACATATAGGATTACCAACAAATATAAACTTGCGAGATAACATCACTTGGCATGGCAAAATGAAAATTTTGCTATATCTTATTTCAACAGCTAGGTTGAAGAGACGCTGAACTTCCAAAAGTCAGACCACTCTTAATAGCCTCAAAATTGCAAGGAAAACAACAGGCACTTGACTGATAAGAGATACAAGTATTGTATTACTACCCAAATAAAGATTAAAGAACTGAATAAAGATTTTTTTTTAATTTTACATATACAGTTATACACTTAGATATTTAGATTGCAGCAGTGTTTTGACGAATCATAAGGCTCATTTCAAATGACAGCCCCATCCGAGTGGGAGTTGCTTTTCTTTACTTTAAAATCTTTCTCTGGGAGAGCGGATAAAAAAAGGGTCTTCCCATCGAAATTATAAGAGCTAATTAATATTGAATATTGTTTACCGGGGAAGGTACATTTCTTTACATCATAAGGATAAAGCATTCTCGCTTATCTTAAATATGTTTTTTAATATGTATAGCTATCAGTATCAACCTAATAGATAGCTCTTTCCATTTAATATGTATTAGTCTTGGGGTAAACCCCTTCATCCATTGCTTAGCCTATTATTCCACCCAATGAGCAAAGAGAACTGCGGATTCTCGATGGTTGAACAGAAGAGAGACAGGGCAAGCATAAATGATTCCAAAACTGAACACTACAAGATAATGTTTCAATTGAGTTAAAATTTTATGACTCCTAAAGATTAAAACAAGGAAATTACAGATAATAATATAAAAATAATAATTTATAATACTTTCCTTGGTTTTTCAAGAAAAATATTAATGTATATACAAGAGTTACATACCTGCGCTTGTAGCACAGCAATGTTTCCATTCAGGTTTGAAATAGTTTCCTTTGTTGAATTCTGTAAACAAAACACATGATATGAATCTGATAAGGGACAAATTTACAAGAAACGGAGAAGGCATTATCCATCACCTCAGACAACCCAAAAATTATGATGACGAAAAATCGTTGCTTTAAATTTGGAATAACAAAATACAGAGAAAAAGAATAAAAAAAATATGAATAAACAGTTCACAGGCATATTTTCACATTTCAGATGAATCAAGTTGTGCTAGTCCTTGTTCTTCCTTTTAACCCTTTTTGCATTGACAGTAAAATGTTCTTGCATTTTCTTAAGAATTCATATATTGAGCATGTCAGTAGCCAGCAATAATATGGCCTTCTGCTTATCCATTGCCACTCACATGGAATTGGTTGTGTGTACTAATATGTCCTTATAATTATATAAAGGTCAGAGTCAGGTAAAATAATTTATATTTTAAATCCGTACAGCTTTCAAGTATATGGCTATGGCAGCAGAAGAGAGACTCATGTGATGATGGTGGTTGTTAAGACCTGTGGAGGAGCTCACGAGGCAGAGTGATGAGCATTAGAGCCACCGAAGAGTATTGAGGGGCAGGGGAAAGCTAACCTAGAGTCAAAAGAATGGGATAGCAAGATGCCCCAACTTCCCGGCACCCTTCTCTCTGTTATTTTCCCTTTGGTTTCACTTACAGTTGTTTTCCAGCCCAGGGAGCTCCCCCTCTTGTACAGACACCAAACTCCCCTTGACCTCATTTAAAAACCACCTTTATTTCTTCAATGTTCAATCAATCAATCTTTTTTATTTTCCAATCAAATCCCAAGTAACCAGTTTACCATCAAATAGAAAGGTACCATTAGCCTAGACACTATAAGGGAGTTTAGGACACCAAAAAAGGATTGTTTGGGCCTCGGATATCTTATTCTAGAAAATGGGCTAGAATTTCATTTTTATTTTTTAAAAGAATTTTATATTATTATACTTAATATTTTTATTTTTTTGGTGTGAAATTAGGTGCTAACAATAACTAATATACTATATGAAATTTAAGGTCATTAATTAAAAAAACAATATATCCAATGCAATAGACAATAGTGTACAACAGTACAAGAGAACAGAGTCGTCAGACACGTTATTACCTCCTTCTCAACAAAAGAACTCAAATCGCTCTCTAGAAGATATATTTTTTGTTCTAAACTCTCCTGTGGAACAATGTATACTGGATTTAGTTACCAATAAAAAACATTAAACTGTGGCAGAACATGAGAGAGGAGGGAATGTTAATCAGCTAAGGTTAAATACAGTGAATGTAGGAAATATCGAAGTCAATGAACCAATTTTTACCCCTTTCAGGCTCAAAACATCTTTTTCATTCAGCAACTGATTGGTTTTTTCCACCAATGTAGCCTGCATATGACATATTTTTTAATTTAAAATAAATATTAAATATCTTGATAAATCATTTCAAAAACCCAGTGTTCCTACATCTTTTAAAAGGGGAAAAAACATATTAGGCAATTCACCTCTTTTTGAAGTAAGGAATTATTCTCCCTCTGCAATTGTGCAATTCTTGTTTCTGATCCAACCTGCAGATAATCAGGTTAAATGAAAGTTAATAGACAAACATATCAAAATAATATAGTTCAAATAACACATAATATCTGTTCAAATGTTCCACTAAATTGTTTAATTCAAATTCAATCATCTATTTTTATTTTATTTTTACCCAGTCTAAAGCAGATGCTAATAGCTAATCCACTACATGATATGGTCAAGTATATTCAGTGCAATAACAGTACATGATATAATAGACAAGTTATTACCTCTTTTTCACTAAAAGAACTCAAATCAGTCTCCAGAATTTTTATTTTTTGCTCAAAACTCTCCTGTGGAATGATGTACACTTGACTTAGAATGTCAGCCCAATTTTCATTAACAAAATCTCTAAATATAAGAATCAGCTAAGGTTAAATATATAGTGAATATAGGAATTGACAGCTGATGAAACAATTCTTACACCTTTCAGACTCAAAACTACCTTTTCATTCAGCAACTGATTAGTTTTTTCCACCAGTCCAGCCTACATATGATATACTATTAAATATCTGAATAAATAATGTCTCAAAATCAATGATCCTTAATCTTTTAAAAGGGAAAAATAATCACTCACCTCCTTTTTAAGTAAGGAATTATAGTCACTTTGCAATTGTGCGATTCTCATTTCCAGACCATTCTGCCGATAATTCAGTTAAATATACCAGTCAGTAGTTAAACATAGATAAGAATAACATAAATCCAATAATATAAGATCCATGATCCATACACACATTCATCAAAATTATTTAATTCAAACTCAATACCTGATTTTGTGTCAGCAATTCATTATCAGTTCGTAAGTTATTGATGATCTCTTCCAAGGTAACCTGTAAAAGAAAGGCAAAGAAATGGTAGAGATGAAAAAATTATAATAAAAGATGTTATTGAGAACCAAGCTAATTTTAATCATCTTTTTAGAATGCCAGTTGAGATAAGCAGTTAAACAAATATATATCCCTCTGATAATTGATAGTACTTGCAGTATATATTACCTCTTTTTGAACTAGTTTATCATTTTCTTCTCTGAATTTTTTAATTGTCTCCTTTGATATGGCCAGTAAAAATTATATGCATTCTTTCTAAACAATATTTGTGATTTAAGCAGTTAAATAACTGACATGAACCTCTGAGATGGAGTTTAAAGTAAAATTACCTCTTTCTGAAAGTGCACTTCATTTTCTTCTTTCAATTTTCTTATTGTCTCCTGTGATAGGGTCTGTTGTAAGATATGCTATACATGTAATGAGAAAAATGGCAGATAAACAGTAAGTTAGATATATCAGACAGAATTTAAAATCTATCACCTCTTTCTGCATGTGCATATCATTTTCTTCTTTCAATTTTCTCATTGCATCTTCTGATATGGCCTGCAGAATGATAGATTGTACATGTCATGAAAACAACGAAACTTAAGTGCTCAAACAAAGCACAGACATTTCTAAATAAAATATTACCTCTTTTTGAACATGCATATCATGGTTTTCTTTCAATTTTCTGATAGTCTCTTCAGATGCTATCTGTGAAAAGATAAGCCTATAAGAGTTAAAAGAAAAATGCAAGATAAATACATTAGGAAAAATTGTCATTCAGATAAAACTTAAAATATATTATTATTACCTCTTTCTGCATATACATGTCATTCTGTTCTGTTAATTTTCGGATTGTCTCTTCCATTATGACCTGAGAAATGATGGGATCTATACATTATAAAAACATGAAACATAATTGCTAAAACAAAGAACAAATTCTCAGATAAAATATTACCTCCTTTTGAATGTGCATATCATTTTCTGCCTTCAATTTCCTGATTGTCTCTTTTGATAAGGTCTGTGGAGTGATAAACCACACATATTAAACAAATGTTGAAACATAATAAATCAAAGGACAAATACTTCTCAGATAAAATTTTACCTCTTTCTGAATGTATATATCATTTTCTTCCTTTAATTTCCTGATTGTCTCTTCTGATCTGGCCTGTGGAGTGATATGATGTACAAGTTATAAAACTTTGAAATATTCGTTTAAACAAAGCGCAGAAGTACTTTAAAAAAATGTGTAATTGGCAGGGCAAATAAACAAGCTTTTAGCTCATTTGACTAGCTCAATAGATCTGTTTGTAAAGGAGTTGATTCCAATAGCTTATAGTGTTTTCAAAGTGCTATTTCATGTAACTTCTAAGGTTATAAGCTCCTACCCAAGCTTTTTCTGGTCTCCCTCGTTTTTATCCTTACTGTCTTATAAGATTCCTCCTTCAGCCTTCTTACATTAAAAAAATCCTTGACACTCTCACTCTCATCAAATATCATTTCATTTAAAAAAATATTTAAAAATGAGAATAAAATTTTAAAAAAGTATTATCCAAAATTATAAGTTGATAAATCATTTAGAAATATATATATATATATATATATATATATATATATATAATTACCAAATTTCAAGATATGGCCAAGTAATTAAATGTTATTTTACACTTATCAACTAGTTGAATAACTAATTTATCAACTTTCAGCTATCTTTTTCAATTTTCAACTAGCTTATCAATTTTCAGCTAGTTTATCTGCTAATTTCGCCAAACACACCCAATATTACCTCTCTGTGTACAAGCATATCATTTTCTCCTTTCAATATTCCCAATTGTCTCTTTTGAAGTATGTTGTGGAAAGATAAGCTATACATATTAAAAACTTGAAACTATAATACGTGCCCACATATATATGAAAAATAAAACTTTAAAGACATCCCACTACATTTCGTTTGAGCATATTATTTTCATTCCCAATTTTTTTATTACCTCTTCTCTGCCAAAAGGTAGTTTCATTTAGTTTAACAAGGCATTCATGTCCATAAACACTCCACTAAAAAAAAAAGGGAAAAAGTTGATGGCAAGTATGTTAGAAAAAGACAAAGAAGGAAGCCGATAACATTTTTCAACAAAACTATTCAGAAATAAAAATAATTTTAAACTAAATTATCTGTTTCAATGAAAAAAGATATAGCTAAGGGAAATACTTAAAATGCAACAAAACATTGATTGAAGGGAAACTTACACATTCTTTACCATTTGGCAGATGACCATTTGAATCCACATTAACACTTTGCCCATCTGCGAACTCCAATGGTGGAATATTCCCATCCTTTCTGCTTTTCACCAGATTCTGATCACTATTGGGGGCTTCCACAATCCCATTCCGATCCACATTCATACTTTGCTCATCAATGACTCCTGAAAGATGAGCAGGCTCGTCCTTACCATTATTCACCAGATTCTGATCCCTAGTTGATGTCTCTCCAACAACTCCATTCGAATCCACATTCGAGCTTTTCTCATTTGCAGTCTCGGAAAGATTAGTGTGCTCATCCTTTCCATTACTGACCAGATTGGCAGTTTCTCCAACCCCATTTTCCACATTCTTATTTTGCTTGTTCTTCTTCTTCTTGTTCTTCCTCCGCCTCTTGTCATCCTCCATCCACCCAGCTCAAATTCTCTATTCCAACTTCTAAAAGGCACTACTCACACACACAAAAAGAGAAATTTCAGGTTCAGAATCCAAACCTTACACCACAAAACATTAAACCCAAAAATGACCAGTCAACTCAGACCCCAAATGCAATCCAATGCCAACTTCACGATCCAAGACCCAGATTCACATGAAATCACAATTCATCATATCATCACGTAATTTAAAAACTACAAATTCAAATCTCATAGCCACCGGTTTACGAACCATTGGCATCACGAAATCTTAAATCAACAATCAAAACAGTCACAAATTTGAGAATTAAAAAGAAAAAAACAGCGAATTGAAATTACTGATAAAAAATAAAAAAAATAAAAAACTTACAGATAGAATCGGGAAAGAGCAATGAATGGAATGAAGGGGTTGTTACGTTAGCGTTATGAAGGAAATGAAGGTTTGTGTGAATGTGAAATGAATCTGGGAAATGGGAATGCAAAGTTCAGTGAGTGAGAAGCAATTGAAGGGTAGGGCGTGTGTTGTGTCGGTGCGTCTTTTTAGCGTTGATTTGATTTGATGCCACTTTCACGACACCTTTCCTTTCCAACTGGAAATCCAACGGCTTCTACGCCCCCATTTGTCGTGTACTCTCTGGACCTGTCCCCACTGGATTATTTTTCCTATTAACGTTTTCTATAGCATTTTTATGTGCCCAACTCGGTTTCATAATTTGCTTCCTTCTTTTTGGAGCAAACGGAAAATACATCTAACGCAAAAAAAGGGACGGGGTATGTTTCGACACATACGAAAGTTAAATTATTTTAATTATTAATTTTATTATATATATATGATGCATTATTGTCATAATTGACTGCAATTAGAATGAACTTTTATTAAATATTAATTTTAAATATTTAATTTTGTTTGAACAAAAAGAAATACATAATAATAAATCAACGTAGGAAAAAATTGTTCAAAAATAATTATAAAATGTCAAAACAACTTATTTAATAAATAAAATTTGGCTATTATTTCAATTGCAAAGTTTATTTTACAAATATTGTTTTTACTTACAAATAATTGAAATATCTCGAAAATATTTTTCTTTAGAGCATCTGCAATAGGAGTTGCTTATAAGCAATTCTCTGTACCACATCACTGCCATATCAGCTCTGACCCATTTTATGAGTTACTTAAATTTTAATAGAGTTGCTTCTACAAGAGCCGATATGGCAGTGATGTGGTACAGAGAATTGCTTATAAGTAACTCCCATTGCAAATGCTCTTAGTACCTGCCAATAATTTTAATTATGGATGTATTTTTTTTCTTCGAGTTGTTAAATGTAATACTTTTTTTAAATTAATTGGTATGGAGTATTTATCAATTTCATTGATAGAATATAACTTAATTGATCATCTTAAGTAGAGTTTCTCCTTTCAACTCTATCTTTTTTTATTTACAAAATTCGAACTCAAAACCTTACTTAATGCACCAGATTCAATATCACTTGAATCAATGACTTGTTAATTAATACAAATATTTTTTTTCTTTCATATAAATTAATTTACAAGTTAAGATGAAAAATAAATATATAAGAAATATGATGGATGGAAATTTTTTCTTTTTCATTTCATATATCTCTTAATCTATTATAATAAAGACTAATCTCGTTTACATTATTAAAATTGCCACTGGTTTAAAGAGTGTTTTCATGTAATGAAAATCAAACATGAAATTTATAGTTAAATGAATTGTTCCCATGAAGTATGGGTGCAAAAATCAAGAATGAACAAAACAGAGTGTACCGAAAGAAAATAAAATAAAAGTGTTTAATTATTTTTTTTATTTATGAGAATCGGACTTGGTACTAATAGAACTTATAACACTTACACACATCACTCAACCAATTAAATTATATTTCTTGATTAAATGCATTTAATTTAAGAAAGTAAGAAAAAAATAAAATTGAAATTTGAAAAACATTTGAAATCAATTTTTAGGTTAAACAATCGATTTAAAAAAAATTGATGTCCTAAAAATAATTGATTTTCTTAAAAAAAAAAACATAATGACATTTCTCGTTATTCAACATAGAAATAAATCAAACCAAAAAACATATCACACATTACATTCTTTAAATTGGTCATGATAACAAATGAATATAGAGAGAGAGAGGGAAAACGATTCATTTATTTCAAGAATAATTATTATATTTACTTCATTCAATAACTTATATTTAACATCAAATTTTATTGATCTAATTATTAAGTTAAAAGTTTTTATTACATAGATTAAGTTTGTAAATATTTTAAAAAAAATTAAAAATTATTTGATAATTTGTTTTATTAATTTAAATTGACAGATAGTCATAAAAATAATTTATACATTTATTTAAATTAATGAAATTAATTATCAAATACTTTTCAAAAAAATTATAAATTTGTATGTTGGATCTATGTAGTAACAATTTTAATTTAATGGTTAAATGGTTAAAATTTGATGTAAAATATGAGTTATTAAAAAAAATAAGTCTATCAAAACTTACTTATGAAGTAAATGAATTCCTCTGCCCATTGATCCCTCTAAAGTAGCCTTCAAAGATAAATACACATAATGCTTCCAACCCTTGACACTCCACATTGATGAATGGATATTCACTTTTAGGTGTGTTAAGACTTGAGACTCTATGCAATTTATCCATTATTAAAAATTGATTCTTGATTTTTAGGATATGTAGATAAATCACTTTGCTATTGAGTAACAACGTTTCTTAATGATGACAGAGTAAATGATTAGACTTTGACCTAGTTTAAAAATATAAGTAAGAAAAAATCGAAAGTGGATGAGAAGGATTAGTGTCACTATAACCTAATTTTAAAATTTAAGATTTAAATATATTTTTAGTTCTTATAAATTTTTGAAAGTGCAATTTTAGTCCTTCAGAAAATTGATTGTAAATTTTTCCTTTCTAATTTATGAAATTAAACAATGTTGGTCCATCATTAACATACAATCTAAAATTAAATAGAAAATATTAACGTGCTTATGAGAGACATTACTTAAAAGTTACTTAGTCATGCTAACTTTCATGTAAGGAAAAATGTTTTTTTGCTACATACTAAAAAAATAATTTTTTGATTTTAAATATTAAAAAATTCAACCACTTTTATCTTATTTAATGATATGTTTCCTAAAATATCCATTATGCATGATTTTTCAGTTGCACTACTTTTTTTTTACATTTATAATAATAATAATATAGAAAAAAATGTTATGAAATTAGTAAATTTAATGCAAATAACTAATCTTCTTAATATGTATAAGATCATTTTTTTTCTTATAATAGATAATAGAGGGAATATATGTTATGTTTCTTATTTATTTTTATTTTTATTTTTTAACATAAGTATTTTTGTACATAATTAACTATTAGGTAGTGTTACTCACAGACACGCCAATTTTTTTGTTTAATTTTAGATGGTATGTTAATAGTGGACTAACATTGCTTAATATTAAAAATTAAGGGGCCAGATTTGCAGTAAAAAAATTTAAAAGACCACAATTGTACATTCATGAAACTATATGGACCAAAAGAATATTAAAGCCAAAACTTAAAATTAAGTATGACATTCTCTCACTTGGTCTTGTATTTTTCACACTTCATGATATCTACAATATTGATGACTTGATGCTCACACCCAAAAGTTAATCACACGAATCACAATAATAAATTTCTAATAAAATGGGTATTACCCTCCATATATCACAATGTATTCAGTTTTAGTAAAAGCAACACTTTAAGTGAATGATCATTTCAATATTTATTATTGAGTCAAAATTCATGTCTTTCTCAACCAAAAATGTATACTTAAAAATGAGAAGACGATTAAAAACTAAACTTTCACTATATTCAAAAAAGACCTTACATGACTAAATATAAGTCTAGTGCACATTACGTGGTCCTTAAACAACTTAGTTAATGTGTCTTTTGCCAATAGATATACAATCATTAATTTAGTGTTAATGTGTTCAATGATAATTCCCTCGTAGCTAAATACTTTATGTTGACATGTTTGCTTTGACTTTCACTTTTATTGTTTCTAGTTAGAAAAATATTAACTAAATTATTACAATACGTCTTCAATGAAATCAACTACCTTTAGAGCAACAGTGGAGCTTTTTAACCAAATACCCTACAATGTTGCCTAAAATAATGAGACACACTCGACCTTTTTAGTAGAAGTGACAACTAATGATTATTTTATAATTATCCAACATTCTGCTCTATCAATCATCATGAAGATATATTCAAATGTTGACTTACAAGAGTCAATACAACCAACAAAACCTCTAAGTAACCAACAACCTTCAAATTGTTAGATCTTCGATGCATAAGTTTGTAATATTTGGTTCCTTAAAGATACATGATAATTGTGTGCTTTACTCGTTTATAGTTACTCAAATCATGTAAATTATCTAAATTTTACCCTTATTTATATTATCATTTGCTTCATTTTAACAAGACTTAGACTTTTAATTTTAATTTAGTTAATCATGTTTTGAAGCTAGTTACTCTCTTAGGATCTATTTTGTAGGTTGAAGAAAGATAATTGTGGAGGTATATTTATTGAAAGGTTTTAAAGTTGAAAAACATTTTTGGCTTAGTCATACCTCAATATTAGTTGAGCCAAAGAAGTTATATAATGAAGCCCAAAGGCAAACATCAACTTTGGTTGAGCCAATTACTCCTAAAGTGCATTTCATTTTTTAGACATTTGCTTAGGGAAAATACATGGCTCACTAAACAAATTTGTGTATGGCACTCACAATGTAAGGACAAAAGGGATTTGTAGGTTAGGCTTTTGGGTATATTGTAATGACTTTGTGATAAGACGTTTTTTATGACTAAAGAGCTCCCATACTTTCATTGATCATCTTCTTCATTTCTTCTCCAACCTTTGTGGTTCCTATGGCTATGAGTAACTAATTTCTCCCTCAATGGGATTGGGCGTAACTAGATGAACCTTATGTATTAACTTTGTTTTATCAATTTTATCCCATTGCTTAGTGTTTTGTTTTTCTCTTAATGCTTTCTTGATGACTGTTATCTTGAGTAGTCATTGAAAAATGCTTCTTGAGTTATGCGCGAGTCAAAACACCCATTGAATGTTTTATTTATGAATAAAGATGAGTTCAATGAACATTTTATAACTAGCAATGTTTTCAATGTATTTTAGTCACTTTAGTCAAGGGTGTGGTGATTAGGGAAATACATGGTTTCAAGCTTCAAAAAGATTAATGTTTGGAGATTTTCAGTGATAATGTTGAGCAATGGTGTAAAATATATATGAAAATCCTTTGTTAAACTAATACATGATGGTAAACTACTCCAATCTCAATGGTTATTTCCATTTGATCACCTTTATATATGAATTGCTAAGTGTTTAATAAAAGGCCTAAAAACAACTTTACATTTTATAGCTCTTAAGTTTATTTTATGTTAAACCAACTTCCTACAAACTAAATTTCCACTCTCCTAAGCTTAGGTTAGTGTATTAAGTTAATATTGTCATATATTGCACAAATTCCTTTGGGAGATATGATCTTAACTTTTAAAAGACTACAATGCTATTTTGTATGCTAGTCAATTTATTAACAATAGTTCAATATTTTATTTGTAGCTTTCCAGTGTTTCATTCTTGTACAAACCTGAGCATAGGTCATGAACATCCTAATATATTACATAACATATTGGAATTTTCGTAATATCATGTTAGACATAAAATTATTTATTAAGTCATTAAATTGTATCATCGATATGAAATCATTTTAAAAACCATAGTTTTTGTTAAAAATAATACATGATATTGTATAAGATTGAAATAACCTAAAGTACATCCTAGATTGATTTTTAAAATACATTGAAACTAATTTAATTTCTTAATTTTTATTTTATTTTAAATTTTATCTAACCAAAATTAATTGGCCAAATGAGATAGGTCATGAACATCTAATATATCATATTACTGGAATTATTGTAAACATAATTTTTAACTGGAGTATGTTAGTTATGTAAAAAGGGAAGAGGACTATGTTATAAATTAGGGTGGACATAGATTAGATTGGTTTAAGTTTAGAAAATATTTAGATCCAAATTAATAAGTATTTAATTTGATAGAAGATTTTTTTTTCACAATCCGAACTAAATAAACTAAATTACATTATGATTGATTTGGATTGAGTTATCAAATCACCTAATACAAATGAAAAAAAATCCAAAAAATTAGAAATTGTTATTATAAAATAAACTAAAGTTGTTGAATAATCTGAAAATTGGATAACATATAAAAAAAATCTTAAATTTATATTTTGTTATTATTATTATAATTTTTATTAATAAAAAATGTTCTTTAGAGTCAATAAATCAATCAGACCAAAACCAGTGTGACCTATATGGAAAAGTGAAGAATAAAATATATTTTTAATTTGTAAAATTTTGTTAATTTCTAGTTTTAGTCTTGAACAAATTATTTATCATTTTCCATCCTTAAACTTTTATAAATTCTTACTTTTAACCTTTAAATTTTTACAAACTAAAATTAAATAATTTATTTTTAAAAAACTAAAATTAAATAAAAATTGACCAAGTTTAAGAAAGTAAAAACATTTAATCTTAAAATATGAAGAAAAAGGAAAGTAGGTATGGGGATAAGGGTTGGAATAAAGAAGGAAGAAATGGAGAAAGGTGTAATTTGATGTGGGTATATATCCAACCAAAAAGGGGCGTTATGTAGGCATTGGTGTGTGAGAGAGCCAGCAGTTTCAGACAGAGAGAGAGAGAGGGTTTGGGATTGGGAAGGCGAGGGATTGACGCTGCGTCTCTTCCTCTTCTCTTTCGATCCATCCCTCGTTCCTAATCCTCCAACCACATGTATCTCTCTCTTTTCCCTTTTTCTATTTCCTTTTAATTTCTAGGTTTCCCTTTTGACCCCTCTTTCTCTTTCAGATCTGAACGCACCCATGGCTTCAAAGCGCATCCTCAAGGAGCTCAAGGACTTGCAGAAGGACCCACCAACTTCTTGCAGCGCTGGTACCCCCTTTCTTCTCCACCAAAAGATTTTTGTCCCCACTAATTGTTCTGTGAAAAAAATGTAATCTTTTTTCATGGGTTCAATGAAATAAATTTTAACCTGATGAATTGGCATAGTAGCTGTCACCCTGCCGTCATAGGTTGTAGGGACGATTTATTTAGAGGAGAACCTTTGTTCGATTCTCGTGTACGGAAACTCATCGGGTCAGTGACAGTTACACTTGGGTTAGCAAAATTAGTTTTTGACCTGATGGGTTGGGAGATATTGGATCAAAAAATAAAATAAAATAAATTTTTGAAAGGGCGCAAAAAATTTGGTTTTGTGGCTCACTTTGTAAGCTTGAACGAGTGATTCTATGTGTGCATTGTTGCTAACCATGCTAGGATAAAATAAAATTGAATTAATGAATAGGAAAAATGATGTGTGTGTTTGTTGTGTTGTTGAGTGTGAACGCAACAGGTTTGTTTTTAGTATATGCAATTGCATATGCAAATGTTAATTTGGGCGTTGTTTTTGTTTATTTTACAGGTCCAGTGGCTGAAGACATGTTCCATTGGCAAGCGACAATTATGGGTCCTGCTGACAGTCCTTATGCTGGAGGTGTATTCCTAGTCACTATTCATTTCCCTCCGGATTATCCTTTCAAACCTCCTAAGGTGATGTGTGATGAATTTGAGGCTGTTGTTTAAAATTTGAATGTGTTGTAAATGTCTCACAACCTTTGCTAGACCAGGTTGCCTTTAGGACTAAGGTCTTTCACCCGAACATCAATAGCAATGGTAGCATTTGTCTTGATATCCTGAAGGAGCAGTGGAGTCCTGCACTTACCATCTCCAAGGTTCAATTTGCTTTCCCTTTAGTTTTAAAATATGTCAGTATAAAATGGATTTTTGATATAATATTTGTAGTTTTGTAGAGAGTCACTAAAATTTATTCCCTTCTCTTTTATTTTTTTAATCAAATTCCCCGTTTCTTGGGATTGGGTGGCACCCTGACTTGTTGTGTATCCATTGAAGTAGGTAAACCGAAAAATTTCTTTTAGGATAAGAATTTAATCAGAATGGACTGGACATGTGGAGATTTTCTACCTTGTCATATACTTACTTGTTGTCATGTATGGTAATTTTGTTAACTTTAATAAGAATTACTTTAAAAGTCATGTTTGTTATGATTTCTGATTGGTTGGTGGTGTAATGATCTTTAAACTGGCAGGACATGAAGATCAAACTCTGCAGTTAACTAGACTAGAATATTTTACCCTTTGTTTCATTATGGGGAAGTTATCACATAATGTATACCTATACGTAGTTACTGAAATGCATTACTTGGTAACCAACAAAGAGGAAAATGTAAAACAAAGAATAGGAGAGATACAGTAAAATTTGGACTAAATTATAGTCAATTTGATCATTCTTAATTATCCTATATACATGTATATGTGTGTGTATATATTTTTTTTTCCAATTTATTTAGATTTATGTTGGTTTGACTTTATTGGAAGGTTAGAACTATAGGCCTTTAAGACATCTAAAAGTCACATGTTACCCTTGTTTGAGGCAAAGCTACATGTCCTAAAAATTAAATTCTTTTAAGTCACCTTTATTTCATTCAGTTTATTATGCATGTGATTCATTGACTGTGCTGGTAAGATGTTTGTGTAGATGGATGCATTTATCATGCCAATAAGAATATGTTTGTCAGTATCTTCACACTATGCTTTTTTTAAGGGGGACAGGACTGTAAGAGGGGGGGGGGGGGGCGAG